ACCTCCTTTTTTCTCTTCTAGATTTGTCTTGGTGGCTTCACCATGCCAATACCATGATGGGCACCCATTGCTACCCTGACCAAATATCCATCTCTTCACAGGTGCTTCTCTGATGGGCTAGGGGGCATTTCTGAATGACTACATGACTTTGGGCATGTGGGTTCTAGAGGCATGTTCACTGTACGTTAACATCCTTGAACTTCTCAATGTCTGCCAGTGATTTTCTCATTTCTTCCTCCTCATGTATTGGTTAATTATGATCCACTCTGACAATTCCACAGTCATTTGTTATACCAGCTGTCAGTGGGTGCCTATTCTAGGACTCTATATCCATGCATTGGACCTGCTATTTTGAGCTTATTTCCAATGTGTTCCTCTCATGGCTCGTTACATTTCAGGGGCTCTGAACTTGGTGGCAGGTCACCTCTCCTGTCCAGATAGGGTTCTAACCACAGAGTTGTCTCTGCACCTTCAGGTTTTTCGTTGGGTTTCATCTCAGTTGGGCATGTCTATCATCGGAGCCTTTGCTACTTTTGATACCAAGCTTCCCCCTCTTTGAATCCCTAGTTCCTCATCCTTTGGCCCTGGTAGTCGATGCTTTCTGCCAGGACTGCTCTCACCTTTTTCTTTATTCCTGTCCTCCTATTCCTCTTCTTCCTTATGTCCTCACTTTGATATGTGACACTCCTTGTTGGGTTGTTGGCACAACCATGATTTCCTCTGCTTCATCAATTGGTGTCCAGCGTGCTTCCTATGCCATGTGTGGGATTTGTCCAATCTATTGTCTGCAGGGCTGGTTTCTTTGATCTTCTAGCCTTTTTCTTATCCTATTCCTTTTGTCCTTTAACTCTATTCGTGTATCAACAGAAGTGGTAGGCTTTCCAATATTGGTCCATTAATCATTTCTTTCCTCCAGTCCATCTTTTGGTCTTTTTGATATGGTTCTTTGACCGTGGGTTATAAGTTTCCACTATTACTGCTTTTTGGGTGGCTTTATCAACTATATTTCACCATTCCCACTGGTGTCAGGTTTATCTTCTCTTGTCTTCTCCACTTTGTTTTGATCTTTCTTTCTTCAATGACCCCCTCATCCTACTCCCATGCCTGTTTGGAACTTTGACATGGTTTTACATGCTCTTACACGTGCTTCATTTAAGTTGTTGGCTTCATGTTCATAATATCTTCTTTCTCTTAAGTCATGTTTTTATCTCCTTCTCACCTGTGGTCACTGTCATTCAGATGTATATGCTATCAATGTTTCCTGCACTCTCTTTTACCATGCTTATTTATTCCTCTCTTCAGAACTTTGTTTTCTTGCTGAGACTTTGACTGTTCTAGAAGGTGTTCTTTCAGATTTCATTGCCTCATATTTGTCAACTGTTTCACTTTCATATGTCTCATTTTCCTTGACCCTTGAATGAGATCCTTCAGACTGGTATGTTCTGCACATGTTCATTTCCCATTATCTTCACCCTCTGGCTTTTTCATCTCCTGTGGGAATTCTACTCCCTCCATTCCCTGTTGTTTGATAAAACTACATACCATCTTTGAGAATGATAATTGCATTTTCTTTTTCATCATCCTTTTCCCTCCTTATAGGATTTTACTAGGTGGCTGGAGTTGCCTCTCAGAGTATGCTTATTTCACAAAATCTGCATTATGCCAAGGGTAATAGAAAGTGATCAACACATCCACCCTGGCTCTACCAATACCCACTATTGAGATGGGGGTTCTGCAAGATCACTAGAGGTATCCTCACGGGATTAACTTTATTCAATTGCTCAATCCAGACTGCACCATTCCATGGACTATCATGGACAAAGCCAGCACCAGGGAAGTGACTGTCCACTTCTCTGGCTTGCACTTGTCAGCTTTTAAAAATAGGATTTCTTAATCCCCCATTGCACTCTCTCCAGTAAAGGTTCTTTCCTGCAGGCATCTAGCGGAGATTTGGGCTTATCCTGGTCTCCACAATGTAAATTCACCCTCACCTTCATCAAGTGGAGCATGGAAGACCCTTACCACTTACCAGTTCCTAGCTATTGAGGTAGTGGAGCTTGGAGAGTTCCTTACTGATTGTGTAAAGTACAATACAGTGGGAAGTAAAGCAGTAGTGGTACTGTCTGTGTAGTGTGGGTTGCCCCTAGAACATCTAGTGTGTTCTTCTGCAGCAGGAAGGGTTCATCATCCCTGTCTCTATCTGTTCAGTTGAGTTGAGGTAAGACAACATATAGTCTGGTTGTGCCTTAACCATACTACACTTCTTGGCTTACTGATCATGTGTGTAAGGTGCTCGGTTGGTCATGATAAAATTCTACCCATCCCTGTGACACTTTGGGATTTTTTTACCTTTTTTTCTGTTTCCTTCCAAGCAGCCTAGTCTAGACAGGATGTGGTCTCCCACAGGTGTGCCCCAGTGGAGATCCTGCTATCAAGTGTTTCTTGGGCTTTCCCTTTGGGCACTTTCTGAAAGAAGCTCATCTAGGTGTATATATGCACCAGCCTCTCCACCAGTTCAATGTAAGATTCTACCTATACTGTGTGTGGAAGTGAGGTGTCATCTCACAAGTTAAAATTTTCCTTATCTGAAAATGTATTTCTGATAGATACTCCTCCACACCTTCCCACCCATCCTCCCCACTTCCAGTGCATTTTTTTCTTGACTCATCTGAAAATGAAGTTATTTTGAGTGCAAATGCATTGAATTATCTTTGCAGGGAGTTTGAGCCACTGTCCTATTTGTGGAGGGCTATCGTTACATGATGATGTGATCATGCACTAGCATAGTGCACAAGTATCTATCTGAAATGCATTGCAATAAGGAAGCATAAAGTGAATTTAATAATGTCTGCCACTTTTCAACTTATTGTCTTTTCATATAGGTTCCCATATCTGAGTATATCACATGATTTTACTGAGTTGCATTTAGAAATTAGTTAATCTGTTTTATTATCATGCTATATGAATAACTTTGGCATCAAAACGTAGCTAATAAATAAAATTTTAATATTATGTAAGATAAATTCTTAATTTATAACTAAATATTTTTAAAAATCCTCAACCTCCCTTAATATGAGAATTGTGGCATTTGCTTTCTAGGTCTTCCCTTTTTTAAAAGTTATTTACCACCCCTCCAAGTTACTACTCAAGCAAAGTATAATTTTTATAGCCTACTATCTTATTTGGTTACAGAGCCATAAACTAGAAAATCAAGCCCCTCTTGCCATGCCCACCTGTCACATCCTCTTTTTTACAAATTGCCAGTAGTTTTCTCTGTTGTTTTATACTATATTATTTATAACAAATGGAAAGCCAAGGTTTTAATCTGTCAAATGGCATATTATATTATGATGTTTTCTGTACATAGAATTATTTATTTTGCTTCCTGTTCAAACTTTACTTCCCATGGAAAACACATTGACGAGTTTAGTTGAATTTTTAATGACTCTTATTGCATGAGTAGAAAGACAGAAAAATTAGGGTAGTTGTAGGACATTGTCTACTTTTTACATGTTATTATTCTGTGTTCTTAGGTGCATTATTTAATTGCATAAAAAACTTAGTGCAGTATTACCATTAGAACAAAAAAGTAGGGTTAAGTGTTAATGACAGTCAGCCTACAGCAAAAAATAAAGACTCTGTTATTATATCTCTTTTCTTGTGTATTATTTATTATTATAAAAGGAACTAAAATGTAAACATTGGGAACTATTAGGTAAGATAGATGAAAAATAATAATAAAAATTTTTCTTGAGGTACGCTTATGAGCAAGCTTTTGCATTACATTATTCGGTAGGGCAATATAAGCTACAAATTTACCAAATGATTTACAACTTGTGTGGTGGGATTGTTATTTAGACACGGTTCAAAGATCAGTAAAACAATAACATGTAAGCAGATACAAATGTATACTGTTACGAGCTTTAAGCTTTTTAGGATAAACAAATGTAGTTTCCTGTTACAATTGGAAGTCATTCTAGAAAGAAAAAGAGTAATTAAGAGTTATTTTTTATGTGTGCTCTCATCCTGCAAATTGACCAACCTGGCATATAGTTAAGATAGAGAAAATAGCAGATAAAATATAGTTTTACTGGAAAAATAAACATTTTAAAATTATTTAGGAGGTTTTGGAAATTACACAAAGGAAATTGGACATTTTTCAGATGAAGAAAAGTATTTTTAATCTTAACATGAAAATCACTCTGCACTCAGAGCAGTCAACACTTTTATTCCATATATTCATGGAGAAATTTTTAGTAAAAATACTTTTTAAAAATTCTCATTTTTTGTCTACAAAAGACTTGTAATGTTTACTGAAAGCTTGTTAAATTTTGTGAAGATATACAAAACATATTAGAAGTTATAGTATGGAAATTAAAGGTCAGTTTAGTGTCACAAACTCAGCCGAATTGACCAAGCCCATACAAAAGAATTATTGAGGTTTTAGATGTTTCTGATGTATATTCTTGCAGAAGTTTCTATAGTTTATTAATATTATTATTAAAAACTGAATAAAAATTTCTTTTTTGTGTTATGTAGTTTGTAATTCAGTAGAAAACACTGCTTATTGTAATGTTGATTGGTACTGTTAAACATATGTGCTTAGTTAGACGAGTCTGCAATTTGAAGCACCTGAAACATTTGAAATTTCAAAAATAAAATGATTAAGATAAAGCAAAGTGGTCTCACAGTTCATATCTGCACTTATAAGTTTGCTTATTACACAAACTTAAGGAAAATTAAAAACACATTATGTATTGACAGATTTACTTGAGAGGTGATAGATACTTATATCTGAAAATGCAACAAGTTTCAACTACTAGTTTTTTTTTTTTTAACTTCAACACATGAATGAAACTTCATTTCACAGGATAAATGACTTTAGCATGGCCAGTTTTAGTAGACATTCAACATTATTCAGAGAAATGTGTAAGTTATATGAATTGCATGTGATTTCATTTTAAAACAAGTTTGAAGTATTTTAATGTTGCCTTTGTTAGTTCTGGAGTGCTGGTTCACTGTTAGACACATTGAGAAGACTTGATCATGAGCTCAGCAGGGAAGAAACATCCAGAGACAATCAGCAAAATGGCTCTGGAGTAGAGAATCCCTCCTCAAGCTCCTTGACAGATTCTGCAAATTCTCATATGAATGGAGGATCACAAAGTCAACAACCTAACTGGAGGAGAGTGAGATCCCAAAATAGACAAAATGCTCAAAATTATCATCAACCTCTTGAAGGGTAGATATATTGATTGTATTAATTTTCTGCTTGTCTCTTGTGTTGAGCAATATTTTTTTATTTTTATTTATGTGAAAACTTTTAGACTTTTTTTTTATCTTTTAAACTTTTTTTTTTTCAAACAACTTATCTAAAATATTAAGTACTAACTTTAACAGTTTTGTAGAACAATTAGATTAAAATTCTTAGTCATGTGAAAAATAGGCATACATTTTTGCTTCAATAAATAAAAATAGGTAGGTAGGCAGGGTTTCATTTAGGTGTAAAGTGAGTTTTAATTTCAGACCCTTCTCAATAGTTAAAAAAAACAACACACATTTCCTGATTTAAGTCATTTTTTTATCACTTGAAAAAAGCAGCTATGTTTTCTTATTGGTACTAAGAAAAAAAAAGCTTTATACAGTATAACTGGAGAGAAACTATATATTAAAATTCATTATTATAAAATAAACGATATGGATTAACGTATAGTTATGGTGTTATAGAGATGCTATGAAGATTAATGTGTGTCATAATATACAGTGGTGGAAGTCAATATAGAAACACACAAGATAGTGGGAATATGAGAAATTGTAATGTTTATTTGTGGAAAACAGCATCCTACATAATCAATATACCTTAGATGCTTCCACAATAACATACCAGTGTATATCATATCATGACATTGGTGTTTGGTGTGGAGTAATGCTTGATTCCTGGTAGCATAATCCCATACAGTTTCATAATCATGGCTAAGGAATGTGATTCCAAATATCATGAAGCACCACCCATAATTCACAAAAGATCATTGGGAAAAAGTTTTCAACCTCTTAATATCCCTAGATACCTTCAGTGATGTTCATGTCAAAATGTGTTCACAGAAGACACTTGAGGGTTTCAGTCTTCTTTCATCTGTTTCAAGTAACATTATATCATATTAGTTCCATGTTTGTGGAATGGCATGGTGAAGTGTAATCTGCTTTTTTTTTGTTGTTGTTATAGTAGCTTCAATTTTCACTAGTTTCCAACATTTTCATCAGCAATTAAGTCTACGCTTGTAATGAATCTCCCTGTTTCTTTGTTGCTGATATTCTTTTCCCACTATGAACTACCTTTGTTGCTATATGATGAACCTTTTCTACAAACGTATAAAATTCTTAATTGAAATGAAGTATTATATTCAACAAATTTGTATTACAAAAATTTTTATGGAAGAAAACCAACAATTCATGCTGCCAAAGTTGTGTATTACAGAAAAAAATGAGTACACTCTCCCATTGCACGTATAACATAATTTCTTTTTAGTCTTGCTGTACAGTTATTCTGCTTTGTTAAGATTTATATAAAAATATGTGTTAATGAAATTTTATTAATTTATGTCAGTGGTTGTTTTTGTGCACAGTGAAAATGATTTTATCAATAATTATTGCTTGTCTTTTGATTTGCTTTTCATGTATACCATTATTTGACAAAAGCTTGTGTGTATGTCTGCTTATAACTAAAGAACTGTTAGATTGATTGTCACCAAACTTAGCATGTACTTTAAGGGTCCTGTGAGGAATGGCAAAGAGGGTGTTGGCATTTGATTCTCACACTTCCCCATCACCACCTGTGGTCCCTAATGCTGTGTACACTTATTTGTTCAGTCACCCCTTTTTTTTTTTTGTATCACAAATATCATTGAACAATCTTAGAAACAGGTTTATTTCTAATAAATAATAATAATATTTAAATACAATAAATACCAGACAATAATTGGTACTTTTAGTGTTTTTCTTTGGATAAAATGAGTGATACCAACTGTAGAGTAGGTATGTTCAACTTCAGTATTGGGTCATATCGTTTTTCTCATCAGTCTTTTGTGGCACCACATACTTTTTCCAGTTGTAAAGCCATCATTGGTATGGGATAGATGAATCAGGACTCAATTTTCATATGTTGTTGGTTTTGTAAATACCACAAGAAATTGCTTAGAACTTAAAAGAGTAAAAACATATAGAAAAACCCTAGGATTGTCCCAACTCATTATTTTTTCTAAATGTGGTATTGCAGCTGGATAGATCTAATAATTTGTGTTTTTATATGCAAACCTCCAATACTTACGATATATTCTTAGTTCTGTGTTGTTTTTTTAGAACTTAAGTCATGTAAACTATAAGTCATAAATAACATTGTAGCACCATAATACCCATCACTGAATTTCCCTTTTTTTATTTGTTTCTAGAATAATTCACCAGATATTTTCCAACTTAACTGGAGGTACAGGTGAGAAAAACTAAACAATTTAGTTTTATTTGCAGCACAATTTTATTTTTTCAGGAACTGCCCTAAATTCTTCAGTAGTGTGTTTTCATGTAGATTGTACGTGTTTATCTCTCTCAAAATGGAGTCGGTCAATTTGACCAAGTCACGTGACCTTTTGTACTTGTTTAAAGTTGATATAAATTTAATACTTATAACTCTTAATATATTGGGTATCTCTTCATGAAATTTGGCATTCTTTCAGTTAATATTACTAAATATTGTCTGTCACATACAAAAAGTCATATCTTTTAGTGATG